TACAATTTTACCTCCACCCTTATCTGCATTTTGAAATATAAAAACTTGCTAGGAAGGGGGGGGGGGGGGAGAGGGGGGGGGGGTGGGGTGGGTAGTGAAAGAACAACACAATATAATTTTGCCCCCGCAAACGTGAAAATCGCGCCGACCGATTTTGCGCTCAGTGGGGGGAGGGGGGCGGGGGGGGGGGGGGGGGGGGGCTGGGGCCGGGGGGGGGGGGGGGGGGTAAGGAGTATTCATATTTTTAGGTTAACCCCCTAAACGCCCCACCCCCTGCGTACGCGTCTGATCCTACCTAAGAGGTCACGCCCTTTCGGCTCTCTATAGATGAATTACAGATTGTAGAAAAAAAAAATCGCAATTAAGAAATTCTCTAACTTATCATGAATGAATCTCTATGTGTTATTACTTTTGTTCAAGTAGGCTCTAAACAGATAACATGAGCTTCATATTGTGTTAAAAAGAGCTTGTCTTTAAGAGCCACAATAAAACAGATCACTGAACATACAGAAAATGTAATGTAAATAACCTTTTTTTTTTAAATGTATTAACAAAATGAAAGGTATAAAAATCTGTATACTTACGGAGGAAAAGTAGATAAATAAAAATGTAAACATGCACGGCTAATTTAAAGCTATAGGATGAGTATTTCCCAGATATGAAGCGAATAACTTGCGTAATTTTCAACTTTTCAGAAAAAAAATCACGGTCTTAAATCCTTTAACTCATTTTCAGGTTTCTCCCCCTTTAATGCAAGATTCATCACTTTTACATGTGAATTTCACGAAAAATCCCTGAGGTGCAATAACAAATTGCTCAATATCATCGGGTTTTCCCCATGTTTTAAAGAAATAAATAATTGATATCAAAATACCATGGGACATGAGACAAATATGTATTATTTTCAGTCCTGAAAATTTGTCGTTTGAAAATTTGTTTTTAAGAACTCTTTGCTCGTTCTGATGAGAAACCGTCTGATTCATTTTCTTTGAATATAAAGAATTAACTTTAATGAACATTGAAACAAAACATTAAAAAACTTCCCTATAATATGGCAAGTAACTAAGTGTGTTCCTAATATTCCACATTCATATATAAGGATTCCAGGTCGAAATTATTCGATAAAAAATGCTGAATATACATCTTCGCAAGTTAAACAAGGGCTTTATAAGCATGAAGTAGACAAATTGAAAGCTAAAATATTTCTTTGAAAGCGACATAAAACTGATAATTGAGCCATTTCTTTCCAATCGCCGAAGAGCACTGTGCTATACAAGAAAAAAATGTGGTGGAGAATGTAAATAATGCCTCAGGAATATTTGTTTTAATCTTATCTTCTGAGTGGATCAAATTTTATATCTCGATTGTGAGGAAGTATCCAACGAAAACAAATTGCCATGGGGAATTGTGTTTTTGGCGTCTTCAAACATGCCTGTTGTGATGGGAATAATAAATGTAAAGAGGTACAGCAACCATACAATAATGCAATATGTGGTTACTACGAATATCTTATATTCGTTTGCATCAGTGGAAACATAATTGGTCTGCATCAGTGAGATTATGTTCTCCATGAGTCTTCGTGTTAAATGGTCGATGAAAATACAATAAAGAAAGGAAAACGATCGGACTTTATATCTATTCCAGACGGAACAGATATTCAATTATTTCCTCGAAGGTCCACATTCAAATACTTTGTATACGCTATTATCTTAGTTTTCCTATCGATGTGGCCTGTCTATGTCCATCCACAAGCAGCAGACAATAACAGGCACGATGAAGGAACGAAACCTTTATAAGATTGATAACATGGTGATACTTTGCGATTGATCAATCCAGGGAAAGATACAATGATTATGGCTTGCTGGACGAAATAAAGAAAGAGAAAATAGGAGCGTTCACACTTACAGAAAAACAAATTAGATCTAAAAAAATTTACCCGGTAAGGTAACAAAATGATTACAAAAGTGAGCGAATGTATTTTATAAATCAGTTTAAAAAAGTAAGGATATATGAGATGAAGAGCCGTTACTGTAACAGGCAAGACATTCCTTGTATACTACATCTGTACAGCATGTCATCTGTTCAGAGGCAGAAGGAACTGTGTGTTAAGTATATGAGTTAACGACCCTCTGACTCCAAACAGAAGAGATTTCCAGCTTAGGTTCGTCCCTTTCTTCGACAAATCCAAGCGTAATATCAAGCGCTCTATAATTATTGTTTTTATTATTATTGTTATTATCATTAATAATCAAGAAATTCTTTGAGTCGACAGCATTAGTAACAATTTGCAGAATAGTAAAAAGCTTGAAGAACTTTCAATGGGCAGTGTCCTTGTTTACTGAATGTAAAAGGTTCCAACTAAGAAATTGATACAATCTTTTATTCAAACATCTTTATATCATAGAAAAAGTAAACGTAAAGAAGCGAGATTCTGTGCTCTGGGGAAACGGTTGCATGAATTGTGATCCTGAAAGTCAAATAAAATATAAACTTCCATTTTATCTACGATGGAATGATTACGAAGAAATAGAAATTAGTTTACCTGAGAGGCATGTCGTTAAAGTGACTCTCAAAATGTCAAACGCTATTGCAATCCCATCATTAAATCGGCAAAGCATCTTTATGCTTATAATGCTAATCCCCTGCCATCGAAGCCACATGATTGTATATAGACAGTGATTTCCCTCAAATGAATTATCAGATGGCATGCAATTTTCCTATATAAGTATTATCTACATCGCCGTAAGGAATATCGTATATCACGATACTCTCAAATGGCAATACACATAATCTCTTCAATTACCATATGGCTCTATGTTCTCCCAAGGGAGGATTTATTCTGATCAGGTTTATATACGATTTCTAAACTTAAGCGGTGGTAAAATATGATGATCGATTAAACGGAATGAAAATCATCTGGTAATATACGTTAATAGCTTGTCGATGTGGGTATTATAAATTGAGTGCTGTGTGTGTGTGACATATCTCAGGCATTGATTTGCAATTTGATGAGAAATTTCGAGCAGGAGTTATGCGAAAATTGGGAGAGATAATATTGTCAAAGAGCTAATCGGTGCAGGAGACAGAGATAGAGAAGATTAGAAAAACGAAGGAGAGAGAGAGAAAAAATAAAGAAAGAGAGAGAGAAAAAAATTAGAGAAAGAGAGCGAGAGAGAGAGAGAGAGAAGGTGTGTGTGCGTGTGTGTGTGTGTGTGTGTGCGTGTGTGTGTGTGTGTGTGAGAGAGAGATAAAGATAAATAAAGAGAGAGTGTGTGTATGTTATGTTTTTTTTAAGTAAGAGAGAGAGAGAGAGAGAGAGAGAATAGAGTGCGAATAAGGGGGGGGGGGCTTGGATGTTGGTGTTTGAAAAACAGACAACAGATTATGGATGATTAAAATGTACTGAGAAGAGACCAGAGGAGAAACATAGCAAATACCAAAGAGGACAATGCGTACATGGTACATCGTCCAGCCGTGTATGGCGCCAACTAACTGCTCAGACAGTTGGAGAAGGAGAGAGAGAGAGAGAGAGAAGTGGGCGGAAAAGTACGAGGGGAAAGATAGATAGAAAGAGAGAGAGAAAGAGAGAGAGAGAGAGAGAGTGTGTGTGAGAGAGAGAGAGAGAGAGAGAAAGAGAGAGAGAGAGAGAGAGATGGACAGAATATTAAAAAATAACAGAAATAGACAGAGAACAGAAATATCGATGTGCCACGTACACCTCCGTCCAGCCGGGCAGGGCGCCAGCTGACCGCGAATCCCACGCTTGCCTACGATGGTTAGACGCAAGCATGAACTTGGAGTAGATCCTGACAGGGTTTTAATATTGGACCACACGAAATACAATATGTAGCGTGCGACGCTTTCTACAAACACTGATTATTTATTATTCTCTCTTCTTCTTTTAGTGTGGCTTTATGCTTTGACTCCTCTCTTTCCTTATTTCCTCTTTCGTCGTACCCTGGATAGATTCTGGCGCCCCCTCCCTTTGTGTGTTCTTGTTTTGCTCGTTTTATTTCCATTCTCGTCATTCTTGTTTTGCAAAGTCGCTTCGGCTGATGTATTCAAGCTATGGTCACGGTGTGCTTTGGCGTGCTGAGATTCTGGAATATTCATGCCCGGCCGTCGACTATAAACTACCACGTTCCACATCACCCGGACATGCTATTAGACAACTGTAAAGAAGAGCTTAAAAATAAAGACCGGATTATTGAAATGTAAAGCAGGAGATAGAGCTAAGTAAAACAAAACGGAACTTTAGGAGGAGAACGGAGGACAAAATCAAAAGTAAAGACAAAAAAAAAAAAAAAAAAAAAATGAGCTATCGTGCCATCCTAAGAAAAGGTTGCCTATTCCTCAGAACTTGCAAATGTCAATGAAACACATCTAGATTATAGCAATAAAGATTATGAAGAAAATATTAATAATGATTATACTACTTCTACTTCTACTGATAATAATAACAATATTAATATGATGATTACAATAACAGTATTAATAAATTATAATAAGATATAATGATGAATATGATAACGATAATAATGACGATAATAATAATGAATTATAATGAGTAATAATGATAATGATAATAGCCATAATATTATTATTTCTATCAATAATGATAATAAATTTAATAGCAACGATATATACGAGATAAATATCATCCAAATGCTTTCCAAGTTCCCCTATAATTCTTGACCTCTAGAAAGAACAGAGCTATTAGATTAATGGCTCTGAATAGAACGATCAATCTGTTAAGCTTTCTAATTAAATATCTTTATATTTTATGTTCATTTGTATGTATAAATATATTCTTATACGAAAATTAAAACTTAACCAATAATAATAATAATAATGATAATAAAAACACAATAGTAATAATAATCATAAAAATAAAACAACTAATAATAATAATAATACAAATGAAACAAATGATAATACTTATAATAACAATGGTATATAGGAGACAAATATTATCCTAATGCTTTTCATTTCTCTTTCAGAAACACGTCACAGTTTCTTCAAAAAAGTCACAAGTATTCCACGGTTATATGTAAGTATATCTGGCTAAGTATGTTGAGTACGTTTGAAAAAAAATTATAATTAATTTTATGGCATCTAACGTGAGCTGATACAGTTTTAATCTTTTCTTATTTCTCCAACTTCTGTTTTTTCAGGGCTACAAATCTATTTGGACATCTATGTGTGTGTGTATGTTTTGTGTGTGGGTGAGGCAAGGGGTTAATCGTGTCCCGTACAATTAAATCGATTTTTAAAGATCTTTTCTGTTCTTTTGAAAAGAATCACATCAACATCAATATACGCATGCCGTGAGCTAAACGTATAAACCATGTTATCTTTATGTGACCTTTCTAATGGGGGAGGGAGCAAATTGTATTTTAAAGGAAAATCCAACCTCAGTAGACAAATACTCTAAAAATCAGAGTTACATAAAATCTGTTTTTAGGACATAGCTTTTTACTATTGACCGCTGTTTGTCTGTTCACCTCTTGTATGACAAGTTTACTTTCCCAATAACGAACGAGTTTGTTCACCTTTAGAGAGTGATGCTTATTGATATCTGTTTTCAATCTCCGGAGCGAAACATGATATTGTATCCCTGAGTCTGTGGGTATCATTAGCTATCTCACATTTCAAACAGTTTCCATCGTTGGCTTCTACTCAACCATCTTTTCGAATGAACTCCTCCAGTTTCACCTTGCTCGCTCGTCTTTCGCTGACTTTTCTTTCGTCGCCATTCTATATCACGTTTGTGTGTTTTGTTTTGTTTTGTTTTACCAGACTGCTTACCAGAAAGCATGTGTGTTATGCTTGACAGTAAGTAACAAGGGGACCGATGGCTTAAAGTCATCTCCGGGGACTTGGTAACGAAGACTGATGCCTTACGAAAGGGCAATAGCGCATTGACTCGGTCTAGAACCCGGGACCTCCCGGTTACGAGACCACTGCTCTACCACTGAGCCATGGCGTCTCGTATATTCTCTCGCAGTCTCTTACTCTTTGTTATTTCAGAGTGTTCATTTTCGATGTTAAGGGTGTTTTTTTAAGCATTGCTTACATGAATATAAAGGTGATACCATGTCAGACATGCATCTTACAGTGTCTTCATAATATATTAGGCATTATGTTACTGGAATATGTGAGTGTTTTTAATATTTAATATGATACTTCTATATGCATGATACGATATAATCGTGGTGAACGAGCTGCATGCTATTTGTTAAAAACTGTTTTCTTATAACGAACTACAAAGGACCCCCCATCTCCCCCCCCCCTCTCTCTCTCTCTCTCTCTCTCTCTCTTTCTATCTACCCTGCATTTCCAGACCCAACACACCCAGCTGCTCTTTTTTTTCCTCTCTTTCTTTTCCGCTCACTCTCAAAACCATTTCTGGTCTCTCTATATCATCTCTAGATCTCCTTACCTCTCACTCTCTCAACTCACTCTGCTATTCTCTCTGTATTACATCTATTTCTGTCATTCTCTTCTCGCTCTCTCGCCACCCTCTTCCAAGGCACTCTGTATCTTGTCCCTCCCCTTGTTCATCTCTCTCGCTCTGGTCTCGCTGTATCTCCTACTCTCCCTCTCTCTATTGTCTCTCTATCTAGTTCTCTTGTTTAGTGTCCTTCTAGTTTGATCTCAACCCTCTCCCCCCCCCCCTTCTCGCATTTTGTCTCTGTCTTTCTGTTGTTTCTAGTCTACCCCTTGTTTTTCATCTTTCTCCCTCACCTGCACTTGCTTTTCGTTCACGCACCTTTCACTTGTCTTTCAACCTCTCACTCTTTCTCCTCTCTACATCTCCCTCTCTCCTCTCTACCTCTCCTTCTCTCCTCTCTACCTCTCCATCTCTCCTCTCAACCTCTCACTCTCTCCTCTCTACCTCTCCATCTCTCCTCTCATTCTCTCACTCTCTCCTCTCTCTCTTTCCCCATCACTCTTTCTCTCTCAGTTTGTCCTCCAATTGACCGGTTTTTCTTTTCTTTTTCTACCTTCAGGCACCGCATCGAATGCGTCCTCGACGTCTCCTTGGAAAAGGCCTTCGAATATTTCTTGCCGAGCCCCGTAGGATTACGATTAGAATGGGACAAGACGCTGCAACTCCATGAATGTATAGCACACCTTGAAGAGGTATCCATTTCTTATCTGTGTACATCCCAACATTTATTTCCCACACACCCCTGTTCACACTAGCAAAATTTAGTTAATATGCAAGACAATCATATAGCTCCCTTTAGTCTCATTTGACAACGCCCCTATCGTCAGAGTCAGCAGCCTAACATGTTAGCCTATGGACGTTTACAAAACAAAATCGTTAAAAATTCATTTTTTTTTTAAACGAAAAGTACATCCACCCCGACGTACGTTATTACTAGCTCTTTCATTGGAACCCTCATGTCTTATTGACTTTTAAAAGTTCACCCACCGTAATTTCATCAAAATAGGTCGCAAGCTCGCCATTGCCTATATAACACATGTACAACAAGTCGAACTTTGGACTCAATTTACCACGCGATTGTAAGGTTATAAGTCAAGCACACGAAGGATAAGAAGAATGAATTATCATAGATCAGTTCTGATTTGTTCATTATGTCCATTTCATCCAACCCCACCGTAATTTTTCCATTTAGTAAAGGCAAGCATTTTGCTGAGGTAAGCAAAAACATGAATATTCATGAACGGTCAGACAATACAGCTTTTCAGTACGTAACGTATAGTGAATGGGAATGGGCGATGGTCCGACCAGGAGGTAGAGGTCAGTGGTTTGTGCTGGCAATGTTCCAGCGAGCGAAGTGTAAGGTAGCCGTGGAAACGATGGTTTGAGCATTTATTCCGAACGATAGTTCGACGAAAAAATATATAGATACAAAACATGATAAGGTCCAAGCTAACCCTGTAACCAACCATCGGATCAGGGGCCGATCGTTGGCCGATGAGGTGAACTCGGATAATAAATTCCGATCGCCGATCAATGAAAATTATCTTTTTTTTTTTTTATGCTGACATTTTTTCAAGTTTGGGGCTATCAAATGCTTAAAAAAAATGCATGGCTGAGATTATTTTGTCATTTGGAGTCATTTGGAAACCATATGTTTCTTGAGTTGTTGATATTTAGTGCCTTTTCATGACTTTGAAATTAATTAGTCTAAGAGAAGAGGCAAAACATGCCTCTGGATTATAATGTAGGCACATGGTTATAATGTAGGCACGCATTTTTATTGTCATTAAAATACAAGAAGGCGGCTCGCATTTTTTCCCTCTTTTCTTAGACTAGTCATGAAAGCATGTTTTCTGAGAAGCCTTAGTTAAAATTCTCTCTCACGTCATGAAATTGGGCTTCAGTTCTTGATGAATAATGATTAATTGGCATCTTGACCCACTATGAATATGACGGACAAAGAAAGCGGACAAAATATACAGTTCCTCAGTTAGACAAAGGAACATCCCTTCACTGCTATTATGTAAAATGGTGAATGTGCATGTGACACCTGTTCTACACATTTTTACATAATAGCAGTGGAGGGATGTTCCTTTGTATATCTGAGGAACTGTATATTTTGTCCGCTTTCTTTGTCAGACATATTCATAGTGACCTTTGCGCATGTCTACGACGTCTTTAACTTTTAAGAGTATAAAACAAATGACCTGAAGATTTAATTTGTGTTAACATAATAATGCATTTAAAAAGCATTCTTTAGCCTGGCATTCTATAGGTTAACAATTAGGGAGTATGAAGAAAATACAGGATAACAAAAACCTGCCCGAATGGAACCGAAATCGAACTTGGATTCCTTGTGCACCGGAGTATATTTAAACTGCAGTATTTAGAAATAATATCTGAACTTCGTACTGTTGACAAAGTATAGCGATATATAGAACCCCTTACATTAAAAGCAAAAGTAGGTTTCATTTTAAAGGCATCGTTTAACAATGATAAATCTGAGATGCATGGCGCTACGAGTTATCAGTGTTTGTGAAATGGTGTAATATTGAAGCCCTACAAAAATTGCGCTTCAAAATGATCATGAAGTGCCTTAAAAAGGTTAAAAAAATTGAGTGACCGGTTTCACCATACCGATTTCTCCTAATAGAGTGTAGTGTTTATTATAACAACCGTTAGTAAAACGAAAAATGAAATTTCCAAACATAAATATCTTGATAATCAGACATGCGATCGGCTTGTAAAAGCCATTGAATTCCTAACTGACCCAAAGGTTTATAATTATGATTGCAGCATGAGCTAAATCCAGGATTATGTTTCAGAATCTGAGGCAATGTTACCGAGTCACTTGAATGCTACACTGGCTATCCAAGGTTATTTTATTACCAATGGATGCAAGCATCGGACTGGGAATGAATCACTGACCACCACACTTCCACAAACGATTATCTTTCAGGAGGTTGTTATTGAGATTTAAACCCTCCACCTTTAGTAATTAAAAGTCAAGCGAGTAGCCACTACACCTTCACATTGAATAACCTTCATTTATCCTGATACACGGTCACAAGAATAATTCACTCAATGCGCGTCACTATATATAGATAAATACGTCACCATATATTAATAAATACTACAAGACAGGTACTCTCTATATCTGAGAGAAAGTTTATGTCTTGTTCATACATTCTGCAAAGACGATCAGCAGGCTTACGCTATAGGCGTTTTAGAAAGGTTTTCCCCATTACCAAATTACATCCTTATATCCTGTCTGTTTTCCAAAACCTTCTTTATTTGTCGATACGGCGACTCGGTGCTATTGCACTTTCTCTCTCTGCACTCTCTTTGATAATACCATATCGTTACTCTGATCATCAAAGGGAGATCTGAGCTTTGAAGTACGCATCAGACACAGTCATGACCAAGGTTTGTGTCTTCCTGGAAGCAATACTGCGCGTGCGGTGCTAATGACCGAAGTTAATTCAACCCCAAGCAGGCGTTCAACCTTTAGCAAAAAGCATCGCGCCAATCCGACGAACGTGTTTTCTTCCAGACAATGGTAGCCTTGAAAAGGGAGGGTATCAGGTTCCTTGAATTATTTATAGCGGACTTATACAGAGGAGGGTGAACATGAAAATGCATCTACCTGGTGGCCCCGACAACTATCCTTCTATCCCACCAGCTCCCCTCGAAAGCTAGAAACAAAATCCGAATGTTATTACTATCGCCGGGGCCAATGGATTCGGAAGCTCTCATGTACTCTAAGATTTAGTTAAAACCTATAATATTCACTCATCGTTTAGACGTTTACAACCTTTTATGAGAATCCTGTAATGTTTTTGTGACATGCCGTAGAGTGCATTTACAACTAAAGAGCGGGCTCGTAAAATGCCGAGAAAATGTGAGCAAAATCGAATAGTTTCTCGCATTTCTCTATATGACACGATCGGTTTGACGGAGGCTGTATTAAGTGTTGTATTGTCTTCATAATATTCAATATCCTTTTTTAAAAATTTAAATTATGACCTGTTTTTCATTGCAGTTTCAAATAGATGTCAAAATAATATTCGATAAACGTGCGAACAAAAAATGTCGTAGGTATAGGACCTAACAATGCCTGTTGCACATGCGCGTTGCCTATACATTGCCTGACGTAGGAGTGCGTCACCGACTGGTGCAGCTTTGATTATGTTGATGCGTCAGGCAGGAGGGAAATGATGCAAATGTGAATGTAAAATAATAAAATTAACATTTTTTTAAAACCTTGCGTAAGCGCTGATATTGACATCAAACGCTTGATTAGTGCAGTCAAAATGAATCACCGTATTCATCGAGTATCAAACAGACGAAAAGAAGAACGCAACATAGAGTTGGTCAACACTTCTTGAGGTTTCGATGTGATACAACGAAGGGTAGAATTTATTTTTCACAATTGCATGTTAATCAGTTCTAACTTAACAACAATTGTAAATACATTGGCATTGGGTCGCTATAGTAAAGAGATGTGTTGCAGGCACGTAGCCGGAGTTCGATGTTTTTTTTTTTTTTTGGGGGGGGGGGGGGCACATACATGTAATCGATCGAGGTAAAAAAAAGGGGTCTAAAAAAGTTCAACCGATCTTGGAAATTTTAGGGGGGCACGTGCCCCCCGTGCCCCCCCCCCTTGTGGCTACGTGCCTGATGTGTGGTGGTCTTTCGGGATCTTAAAATTGGTACGGTACTTCGGTTCGGAGGATACATGTTTGACATTACATGTATCACCTTTCCGCCACCATGTTGGCAAATCAGAAGGCTACAAGTCTATATTTTGTTCGAAATGGGATTACTGTTACGGGTTCAGTCTCATTTTTTCATTTCATTTCCAACAAAACAATCAAGATAAAAAATTATGGCATGAAATAAATCACTAATTATATCAATGTACATTATTATATTGCATTCTGCAAATCATCAATTAAATTACAAAAGAGAATGTATATATTTGCCGCCAGTTATCCTTCTTTTATTGTAAGTAAAATATGTTGAAATGTAGGGATCCACTTAGAAACAGGGCTTGTAGAATGCAGATAAAACGATAAAATATTGGATGATCTACAGAAATCATTTAAGTACAAAACAAATGATTGGGTACCTAGCAGGCTTCCTTGTGGCACACCCCACTTAGTATTACACAAATATGATGAACAAACATTTAAAAAGACACATTGCTTTCTATTAGAAAGGTAAATAATAAGAACCACTCCAAGACTTTCCAATGTACACCATTATGGGAAAGTTTACAAAGTAATATATCATAATTGATAGTGTCGATGGCCTTGAAGAAGTCCAGTAATATACCAACCATATAAAAGAATAGGTCAATAGTGTGAGCCACTTAGTCAACAAAAGATAGCAAATCGTTAATAGTATTATGTGTCTCTCTGAAACCAAACTGGAAGTTTGAGAAAACAGTGTTATTTTAGAGCAAGTGTTCGAATATTTTCTCTAATATCTTGGAAAAAGAAGACGATAAGGAAATCGGTTGATAATTGCTAACATTCGATTAATTCCACTTTTGTTAACAAAGGAATAACTTTGGGCGATTTTCATCGAGTTGGGGATTTGACCATGTAGTCAGGACAGATTTAAATATGTAAACTATGGGATCTAATTTAAACGGAATAATGGCTTTTAGGAAAACATTATTAATTCC